GAATGTACCACTATCCAAAAGCCTGAGACCCTGGGTAGTCTGCATGGCTCTGAGGAAACGCCCAGTGCCTGGCTTGACGTGGCGTTCAGGGCTTCTGGCATTTGACTTAAGAGGGCATGGTCTAGGTGTATTGTAGAACACAGTTTCCTGATACGGTACCCTGGTTTGAGTTCTGTAGCATCTAACAGCAAGCCAGGCTTTGGGCATTGGAATTAGAAGTGGCGGGCTTGATCCCGTTTCTTGTTTGTTTTCTCGGGTCTCCGTTTAGGAGCTTGCGTTTTAGGATTTGGGGTTGGGATTTCTCTGCCTTTCAACACGATAAGAAAGTGGCGGCCGAATCTAATACCCTGCATTTTCAATTTTATGTTGCAACGCTCAGATGCAACGGAAGCAAGGGCAGGCTGCGCTTGCCGTTCTACAGTCTAGCTCTGCAAAGTGAAGGAAACGTTGTTTGGGTTTAGCGGCCCCCTTTTTCAGCACAACTAACTAAATCCTTTTCATAGGGAAAGGGACACCAGCTCCTGCAATTTGCAGAGTGCAGGAGAGGAGAGGGTCCTCGTGTAACAATTGCGCGCAGAATGGCTCGCGAAACCTCGACTTTCTCTGATGGGTTACTGGTTTGGGCTGGGGAGGGTAGGGGGCTGGCGGAAGACTCATGATTGGAGGGAGGGCGGGGCTGATCATTTTAATCAGGGACCTTGATTGAGCATCCCCAAAAACATTGATCCCAATCTGAGCAGCCTTAGGATCTGTGTAGTTTGAGGGTTAATCTGAAAACTCCTGAAAATGTTGGTTGTGTATGGGGGCATGGGTAGTTAAGGATCCCCAACAGCATTCATCTGCTTCTTCTCCTCAATCCAAGAAACCCAAACCCCTAGAACCTAAACCCTTAAACATCTTGGGCCTCTATGTTAGTTTGGGGGAGGGTGAACCTCCAAAAAGCTGGGCTCCGCTCCGATACAGACAGAGACGACCTTCTTGAAGAGCTCCGGATCATCAGCCAGCGGGCCGAATCTCGGAGGCTTCATATGGGGCTTTCTTTCATGTGCGGGCCCTTGATATGTGGGGACTTATAATTGAGGGATCAATGTTGCGAAGCTTCCATATGGCTTTCTGGGGATCATGCAGGGGCCTGTGGGACATACCGCGGGTGCGAGGCGCGAGGTTGGAGCAGCTCTAGGACAGTAAGACTTCAAAGGACCAATTGCGTTTCATTCTAAGAGCAGGCGACCTCTCATTGCAAGGTGTTTTATCCTAAAAGCTGCGGTCACCATATGTGACCCGGCCGTGAAAAAACTCATAAACCTCCTTTCAATTACGCCATATAAGGCATCATCATAGCGTACAGAAGAAGCTTCATAGACGCGTTGGCAGGCTGCTATGGCCTCAGCCTTGATCATCACCAAACGACACCAGCATGTTAGCTTATCCTCAATGGGTGTGTGGTACCCTGCCAAATACCTATAATTCTTTCAAGCGTCCTAGCATGCTCAGAAGATGTTTATGATCTTGGAAATCCTTGTTGAGAACTCCTATAGGACTGAAGCAGCTTCTGCAGTCAAAGGCTTGGGTAATAAGGACTGGGAATTGGCAAGCTGGTTGGGATCAGGTCCTTTCACTATATGATGATATGTTGGGAATGCTTTCAGGGGGTGAGGAGCTTCGGTGCTACTACGGGCAAGGGAGCGCATTGCGTAGTAGCCGCCCCAAGCATCTACGCAGGGAGTCTGAGGATGGAGGGCTCAGGGGTCTGATATCTCCAAGCAAGGCCTAAAGCAAGCCGGAATAAGCTCCACAGGAGCCACGGGTGAAGTCGGGAAGCGTCAGCGGATATCAAAGAGGCTCTGCATCAATGAGTCATAATGTCCTTCACCCGAAGCCCATTGTTCAACTGCTACTGCTACTGCCGGCTGCGAGCTTTGTCAAAGGAGTGGCACGTCAGAATTGCTATGCCCGCCAATGCAACACGGCGATGTAAGCACAAGGAAGTCACTACCAGCAGCCACTGCCACTGCCACACTTGCCATAACCACTGCACTCCCGAAGATGGTAGCAAATATTCAGGCTTGTGACATGATCGTTGGATCGGACGCAGCCATGGCAGGCGAGATCTGGAGTCTGTCAAGGCAATGTAAGAAAAAGCATGAGACAGGGACCTGGGTAGTTGGGTGAACTTCACCACTAGAAGGCAGTCCTTGTAATGTCATGTGCATTGCAAACTGCCAGTCAAGGAGCATCGGAAGGGCTTCGGGCGGGTGAGTTTGCAGTCATGACCTTGATTGAGAGTGTTGGGGGGCCCTGGGTGCAGATGATGGGAATTTGGATCCAAACATGTCCAGTGGCTCGCAGGCGAAATGCCAACTGCCGGTTTGAGGCGCCGGTGAAAACATGGCACGAGGTAAATTGCAGCAAGAATTTGTCACCGCTTCAAGGGACCGAGCACGAAGTCAAAAATCTTCTTTGAGACCGGAGGGCCCCTATATAAGCCCTATAATATCCCTATAAACCCTAGTAGTTGCCATTTTCCCTTCCATTATCCCGATACATCCCTTACAATGAACCTTCTGCCAAGCAGTAGACCTTGGCCTGCAACATGATTTAACATAATAATTAGAATGACGACACTAATCACAATGATAACCCGCACCTGGATGCAGGACATTTTTGCGACCAGACAAAGTTAGAGGGCCCACAGCTCCCTTGAAAAGCCATGGCCGGAATTCTCAAGGTTGGGGCGTTTTGGGGGACTTCAGGTTTCTGCTCGGGAATTGACCGCCCCAACCTGAAACACAGCGAACAAACGCTTCAAGAAGGACCCCCCCCTGCACAAGCACATAGCTTGACCATACACCGCAGGGAGATGTGCATGTGCCAACGTAATTTAGGGATATCTAGGGACCCATATACCCCGCTGAATACTGCAGTCCTTCGTATAGGATTCTACGAAGCCACGTAATAGCACCTACAACTTTGGCACAGTCACCATAACCTTCAAGCTGGAGCATTCGCCTCTGGCGAAATCTCCAACCCTTGGTTCTGAGCTTGTCAGCCCAGGCATCCCCCGAAGGACACCCCTTGTCCTCTAACAAAACCCCAGTGCGTATTGCTTTTGGTAGAATATATGCTTTGTATGTCGTATGACAGAAAGGAAATTAGCTTACTCTCTTTTTTCCAACCCTCTCTATCACCCGCACCCGGCAGGTCAGGGCACTACAAAATCAAAAGCTCAAAAGCCCTTTTACTCTCTTTTGTGGACATTAATTAATTAATACCCCCGCTCTGAATCGAAAACATGCCAAAGCAACTCATGGTCGGAAGTGGGCCCTCAGACTTACCAAACCTTGTTAGCCATTTCTTGTCTTGAGAGGCCTCCATGGGGGCGGGACTGACCTGGGGAGGAAGGCTTCCAAGGAGGCCTTCCACAAGAAGAAATGACCGGCTGCAAAGGAACACCCCCTGAAGCTTTAGTTGCGTCGTGTTGAATGAGGTTCCCAGAGGACCTCAAGGCATGATGGTGTTAGTAAGAAACACCCCCGTAACGGTGGCAAGCAGAACAAACAATGGCAACATTTGCGGGTTGTCAAAATCGTGGCTCCCTTTGTTGGTACCCTTTTCAAGAGGCGCCGTATTCTAGCTAGGACAACCTAGACAAAAACACTCAGGACTTGTATCTCTTTATCAGCAGGTTATCTAATCCCCCCCCTAAGATTAAACCCCCCTTAAAATTAAATACTCCTAATGTATTACAATACACCATAGAATGGGAGTATTTAATATCAGGGAGTTGGGGGGGTCTAATATTAGAGGGAGGGGATTAGGGCGTGTTTGCAGCATGGCTCGAGCTCGGCTCTAGGCTATTGCAGCTCCAGCGTTTCCCAAAACGACGGGCCCTCTGATACGGGTCCCCATAATTAGGATTCATCATATTTTGGGGGCCATACGGTGGTCCCCTAATTAAATTATGGGAACTACAATTCCCCATGAAGGTTAACGGTTTCAGGGGCGGATGAACTTTGGAGCCGGAAACCCACAGGCAAGCACGGCTACCAGCTCGCCTTGGGCCGTTGTGCAACGAATTTTGACGGACAATGCTCCAAATCTATTCTTCCAGTCGTGATGGCTGCTAGCATGTTTTTTGCTTGATCAGATAATTTTGCGAAATATGTAGAGCAGGCTCCATTGCTGTAATTGTCTGCTGCTCGCATCCTGGCTTCACGTTAAAAAGCTATCCTTCGAGCTCTGGGGAGAACGATATCTGAGGCAGAGCAGCGCGCGACCTGGACATCTATGTACGAATGCATATCCGGTCCATCCAAGATACTACGCACGCATACAATTTACATACAAGGATCTTCCAAGTCTTCTGAAGGATAGCGCTTTGGTTGCTGCGCGAAGCCAGTTCGTAAAAGTATGTAAAAGTCATCACTAGCACTTCGTCGTGACATGCTGACGGTTGGCCGGGCCTTCTCCCCGAGCTAAAGCCCCAAGGACATCGACGCACCAGAGTATTGACGCATTCGCCACGCATAATAGCCTGCTTGAGCACGAACTCTTACGCAACCGCAGCTGCACAAACACCCTAAACGAGCCATAAGAAAACATGTTGGAATTGACCTGCTGCTTCTTCATGCTACCCGAACCCTTAGCCTTCAAGCTAGCAATGCGGGGCCCGAGATGGAACACTTTTGTTGGGTGTCCTTCAGATCAGCATCCGGCATTTCCGGGCAGTGTTGTAGAGAGAAAGCTCTGCCTTTGAGAGATGCTACATGACCTGCGTATAGCCATGCAACCCCACACAACCGCAGATGTCCCGGATAGAAGCCGAGAGAAACCCGGAACCCTAGACCCAAACTTACAACCCTGCTAACCTGGTAGTTTCTCAAAATTAGGGTACCCCAATATAGACCCCAATATACTATAGTCCTTATTAAAGGGACCCCCAAAAAGGTACCCCTAATTTTGGGAAACACCCATCCGTTTGAGATTGGAGGCAAGGGTTCTCAGGGCATCGGCTCGGCTGAGCGACTGCCGTTCAGCGACAGCTCCACCGCCTGCTCCTCCTTTTTGAGGTTAGGGGCTTCACAAGATGTGGGTACCTACTATACTGGAGAATCAAATGGAAAAGAAAATGAAAAATGAACTGGAAACTGGGATTATATAGGGGATTAGGGCTTCACAAGATGTGGGGATTTCCCGAAATTAGCCATGCCTTTTTAGAGGATCAAGGTAGCAGTCCCTATAGTCAGGCTTTGAGAAGGATTGTAGAACTTTGGGGTCTATATTGGGGTCCCCCTATTTCTGGAAACTGCCATGCAAGGATTCTACAGTGTCTAGAGTGTACAGGATCAGATTTTAGGGATGGTTCGGGGCAGCTTGAGCTGAAGGCTGTCTTCAACTCGAATTTTTGTTGGTATTGACTCCCCTGGTGGCAATCCAACAGTTACGTTCCCTCCGAGTATCTGAGAGGACCCATATTAGAATTAGAATATACGAGAATGTACGGCAACCTGGTCCATTGATGATGCTTCTGATAATGGTGAGGTTATTATGGCATATGGCGATGGTGATGATGGTAATGATAATGCTGTCTAGGGCTACGACCCTGATGACAGGGCACTGCGCGCATGAGTTCCTGACAGAATCTTGTCGTCAAATACTGCACGGGCTGGAGGAGCAGTCTCTTATGTGTTACAACTCATTTGCAGGAGCAACCAAACAGCTTTTCAACATCCACCTGCTGCCGCCACCCGCCCTCTCCCTGCAGGCGCAAACTAGTATACCTAGACTGGTCACCGAGGACTACAATCCCAGGTCAGAACTCCCCGGTTGAGTCCTCTTCTGCTTCCTCTGCTGGCTGCACAGAGATCTCCTCTTCCATTTGCGCACCTGAGACCCGGCATAGATTATGAGTAAACCCTAGACTCGACCCTGAAGCCTGGCGGCCCTAAACTCCACTCTCGCAACATGATGAACCAACACGCTCATTACAACTCCTCTCCGGGGGCCGTACGAGTGGCAGGTCCTAATTAGGCTGTCGAAGCTGAATGGCAAGAACAATTCAACAGCAAAGTGCATTCCCGATGCCCTCCCAATCCTGCTCAAACACTCCAGCTGGAATGCCCAAGAGGCACTAAAAACCTCCTCATAACACACGTTTCCTGCAGCCCGGTAGTTGCCCCTGTATGGACAATTTTCAAGAAAATGATGCGAAAATCCAGGGGTAGTCCCAAGGTGTCATCGATGCATGGCCTGCATGTGATGGAAATAGTTTCCGTATCCTTCCAAGGATGATCCAACGACAAAGGCCTAGAGTCCAAACCCTACATCAGGAAAAAGGCCCAAACCCCAGCCTCTACACAAAGGCTAGCACCTTTTGCTGCCGGCTTGACCATCCACCCGGCAGACACCTCAACCCTGAACTCACAAGCCTAAACTCTGAAATCTGACAGAGCACTTTGAAGCTTCGTCTGGCCAAGGGAGTCCATGAGCTTACTAAAGTCCTAAGCAGCCATGCGGGGCTCAAGCTTTGAGTTCAGGTTGTAGGATTTACAGTGTGAGTACCTTTAGGAACCATAGAGAATCGGGACTGCAAGGGGTCTGTGAAGATTTGAACAAAGGTTGGCAGTTGTGACAAGCCTGGCAAGGAATTCTATACAAGGCTTTGTGATTGCCTTAGGGGTCGTGGATGAAGGGTTCTGAGTGCTGGCCAGGTGCTTGTCAGGAGGCTGAAGCAAAAACAACTGCTAAGTCAAAGCAAGGCTTGGGAACATCAGCTAGTATGAACTTTCAATCCTCCAACATGCAGCATAGGGGCTGACCCAGACAAACGGACTGACCGAATCCATTGCAGTGTTGTTTTCTTCTGAACACGTCCCCCTAGTTGAACACCTCCACCCTGTAACTGTAGAGCTGCATTTCCACTTCAAAGCCTTCTTCGGGGTTGGGAAGTACATAAAAGTGAACTTGACGAGTACTGCGTCAAAGCCTACGGCCTTGGTCGACGAAGCCGTCGCCGTCTTCTCTGCATCGTATCTCCATAGGAAGCATGCAATGAAGGCCTACACATCTCGCACATGATGTCCTGCTTCTAAGCGAAGGCCTCGAAACTTGATACGGATGGGTGAATCCATTGCCTGAACCGGACCTTGGTGCACATTGACCCAGTTGCACCTGTTGCGAGTGATTTTAACAGCCAAAGTTCATAGTCGGTTCCCAAGCCCTCAATCCGAAACCCTACACGCCTGGATGCTACAATTCCGAACTCTAAACCCCCAAACCCCGCCATGGCTTCCAAGGCTGAGGAGCGTTGGAGAAGGCCTCTTGCATCCGTAGCAACGCCTGCGACGGATGAAAGGAGGGTGTAGAGTTAAGGATTTTGAGCTTAGGGTTTATGATCAAGGGGGTGCCTTAAGGACCCAAAGGAGTACGAAGCGATCCTTCTTGAGGATCATTCACGGACCATTTTGAGAAACTTCTGTATAAGGCATGCTCCAGGTGATTCCCCCACCCACCAACACTGACCAAACGGAATAGTGGCAATCATATTCCGATCCCAATATCTTCCTAATATGCCACTCACAGTCTGCCGGCGGGATCATCTAACGTATTTTGTAATTCATGACTCCCCAATTGGGACCCGTTGCTGCTTTCATGGTGTCTATGGCCAATCCTGGAACAGTACCGGGATTCTAGAAAGTTCAGGGTTTATGGCGGGGCACAGCCCGTGGGATGTCCTTGGGCTGAGAGCTCTCGCGAAAGAAGCCCCTCAAATCCCAGCCTGAGAGACTCTAAACGTAAGCCTCACAACTCAAATATTAGTTGCCATCTTCTTTTTTTTCCTTAAACCCCACACCCTAAGCCTTAAACCAGACAACTTCACGTGGCCGATTCCGCGCTTCCGGGCCTCCCTCAGGGCAGGCAGCCGACCCCTCTACTGGGTTGCTGTTCAAGAATTTCTTTTAAGTTTCCATACTGGGTATATATATATATAATTATCTGGTTCCCGCATTTTAGTGAATTGAATTAAGTTCCTTAACAGCAACAAGTCTTCGGTAGTCCACTTGGAAGATCGGAGAGGCATGGTAGGCCGCGTAGGAGACAATGAAAGTATGCTTAGAACCCCTACAAGCCATAATCATAATAACCAGTAATGATAAAAAAAGAATATTAATGATCATCACCCCAGCTATCCCCATGATGAACCTACTTGCTAAGTCCCCCCAACCCTCCAAGCGCGTCATTCTCCAGTTCCTCCTCCTTGAAATCCCAATTACCGCATCCGCATGTACCCTCAGGGTGCTCTGAATTGTCATGTCCTGAGGAATGGAATTTCTCGGTCGAATATGGCCGAGGATTCACGGTTTAGGGGTGCTCACGACAGAGGGCCAATGCATAAAGTCGGAAACGGCATTTGCCTTGCAAGTGCCAGCATCAATTTCATGAAGCATGCTGTTGCGGCCTCTTCCCAAGAATCAGCCAAAACAAACAAGAAGCCAACCCGCAGTTGCAACATCCTATGCAGCTGAGCCCAACGCTGCTTTTCAGGCAGGGCAGTGGCCAAGTCGAAGGAGTGGATTTACGTGCACTAGAGGTCCTATCCAAACCATGACAAAATACGAGTAAGGGCAGTTGCGTCGGCACTCGTCGTAGTCAAGATCTAAAATCAAACAGATGGATCATGAGGAGTTACAGATCATGGGGGACATATGAAAGATCATGTGTACAAGGCATACGTGCTGGAGAACATCAGGCAAGCTAGTTGTGAGAACAGGAAGAATGCTGCCCGAAAGGGAGAGTTGCCTCGGCAATGTTCCGCTTCACGAAGCCGTTCATGGCATTAAAGCCACCCGGCATCTGGGAGACCAAGTTGTCGATCCTTGGAAAACCCACTCAACACTCACAGGCAAACACCAAAAATGACGGAGTGGCTTCAACGCTAGCATTGCATCTAACAAACGTGCGACGGAACAGCTCTGGGTGTGGCGGGCTTAGAGAATTCCAGCAGTCATGTTGGGCTACAGGGGATTCTACATTCTACTGGCCCTGTATGTGTGACAACGATTACTTCCTCACTTCAGCTTTTGATTTAGGAGCTTTCGGGATTTCAAGTTGGGGACCTGGCCGCGTTCAGATCGTTGGGTTCTATGCGATCAAGACATGAGCATGTGAGGAGCTTTGATGTTTTCACGTCGTTTGTTGCTTCTCAGATTTGATGTCCCTCTATTCCCGAAAGAATGTGGTCCCTGCAATAAAGACCTCCCCACAAGCGCCTCAATTCACTGGAACCCTGAACCCTAAACTCTTAATCTCCTGGCTTATGGCTTACGGCTGTTGATGCTTAGTGGGCACAGGTGGAGACGAGGAGTGCCGTGGAAGCCGCGTGCTGTCCAAGAAGATTTGCGTGGTTCCAATCACCAGGACCCCCCTGCCCTCTATAATAAATGGTTTAAACATTTAGCATTGAGGAAGCGATAATTTTGTGGCATAGCCCCTGTTTGAATCTATTTGGAGGACCTCAACAAGCATGTGAATCGCCCATTTCGCCTCTAGATGTTCCAAGTAACCCCAGTGTTCATACTAAGGGCTGAATTTGGGAGCACTGGCGATACGGAAGCAGACGCATCTACCGGAGAGACGGTCATCATGCAAAGGACCACAAAGACGACCCAGCTGTTCTGAAACCGCAATTGATTTCTAATCTTAAAACGCTGCCTCAGAGTCTCTGCACAAGAATTATCAAAAATCCTCCTGCAATCTGCATCCCAGACTCATGTCCTTATCCTTCTGCACAGACGCAGTTGCATCCTCCAGCCTGGCTATCTTGTCACACGGCTTCAGGGTTTCTAGCATCTGTGACCCCCCTGTGATGAACGCGCATGACACAAGCGCCCTTCTCTGCATATCAAATAATCAAGGAGTTTCTCAAAACAGCCTCCATATGATCCCCCGTGAGGGCCTGCATAATCCCCAAAAATTATGCCAATGTATCCGAAGGGTAGAGAAACTCCCCCATATTTACGCACCCCATCCCTATTCTCTAAGCATCGCACAAGAGCCCATAATTTGCGGAGGACCTTTAGTGTTGGGAGTGCGGGGTTTTCAATATCAGGGGCACGGGACTTCACACTTTCCATGATGATGTGGAGGTTCCGTTGACAATTAGCAGCCCCCGCATGACCCTAAGTAATTTATACCTTGGGAATTATGGTATCGTTGTATACTGATGTCATCTACAAATTTTGGACCGCAGGAATCTCCTCAATGACCCCATGCTAGACCCTCAACCCCTGCCCGAAGGAATCTGGTTTGCCTTGGGGAAACCGTTATATCAAAACTGTCAAACTGTCATGGTATGCTCGTTGGCCCACGATCTAAGCTCATAACGCATACCCGCTATGCCCTGAGGACATCCTGCATAGGAGTTCCTCAAAGATCACCTTTCTTGCATCCCGCAAAAGCAATACGCACCCGCTATAGCTTCAGAAGCCCCACATCAGCGCCAGCCCCTTAGCCCTAAGCCGGGAACCAAGCCTCAGAGTGGACAGCCGCTCAGCGATGCGCATGGCAACATCGACACCGGCCTGTTTTCGGGTTTTACGTTTAGGGCCTGTAAGGCTGTTTGTTGTTGAGGGCTCTTACGGTCCGAATAAGTATATGGCTGCTTTCAAAATCCCATATAGCATCTTCTACTCAGCTCTCCCGATGGGTTAATATCTATAGCAAGTCAGAACAACTGATTGCATTGCAAAAAAAACACAGGCACTTGGACACTTAGGGGAATTAGGCTTTGGAAGAACGGCTTTGTGGGCTTCTCCACAGGCATACTGACAGTACAGGGTATCCGAGTAATCACTTGCAGTCACTAGGTGCTTTGAAGAAGAATAACAAATTGTAACAAAAATCCCCTACACACACCCAAAACAATGAAATTGTGACATCCTCAAGTCGAGGCGCGCTCGTAAGCTGCCTCTTGCCAAGCCCTCAGTAGGGGTGGGATCTACGCAGTTGCTAGCAAAGAAACCCTGTCCAAAACCCCCAAACTTCACTAAGAGCATATAAAACTCAGCAATAAGGCTCACATCTTTGGCTGACCACTGCCCGTGCTCAAAGGTTTAGGATATATCGGGGTCTGGTGGGAGGGCTTACGTTCAGAGGTACGTGTGGATGCACTGGTTCTGAAGGTATTATTCCAGTTGCGGAATACCTTCATACTATGCTATGTGGAATATTTAACGCTAGGCCGGTCGGGAGGTCTTACCAGGGGCTACCGGAGTAGTCGAGGCCAGCGATTCTGGCATGATTGATGTTCAGAAGGCCTGGAATAACATGAGTACCTGGTTCAAATCCATAATGGCCAAGTTTGAGATGCAGAGGAAAGCAAAAAATGTAGGGGGCCCCAGGCGGTCTGATTCCCAGTTTCTTTTGCGATGCGGATTACATCCTGTACAGGAATCTCTTCTAAAAGACCTGTCTGGTTCCAAGTCGGCGCCTTGCCCTTGTGCAAGACGCCCGTGGCCGTGCAGAGCCACAGTCCTCACGCAACCAAAATCTAATGTTCGAACTTGTCGAACGGTGCGCCCTTGAAGCCAGTGCGTGTTCCCACTTGCGAACTGTTCACAAAAAGGCTTGTACTGTGGCTTGGAACATCGACACAGCCGGTAGCTTCGGCAAGTTTGTGTTGCTTTCTTCTTCCTCTTTCATGTAACGAATCCCAACGGTAGCCCTATCTGTCCGTGTGTGTGGGTGTTGTCAATCGCAGGGACGCCCTTTCTTGTGGTGGACCCAGAAACAGCTTCCGCAATTTGGAAATCCTGTCGTGCCTCAACGCAGATAAATTTACTGAGTGGGTCTGGGCCTAGATCCCAACATCATATCGATCCTGGACCACATGGAGCATCTGCTCGAGTTTAGGTACGGACGGCCCCATCTTTTGCTTTCGCTCTACTCTAGAATCTTCTTTCCTTGGCAATCCCGACGTATATGAGCTATAGTCTAAACTCTCTGTATCCCCCTGAATAACCCCCATGATACTCCCTTATATAATCCCCTATATAACCCCCTTTAATCTACCCCAGGTTTAGGGTTTGTTGGAAAGGGAATATGTATTGGTTATATAGGGATTGTTTAGGGATAACGGAAGCCCCAATATGATCAATCTACCTCAGACGCGGAACACACCCATGACACAGGAACTGCTTTCCAAACAGTGGCCCCACTAAATTGGCCTTAACACCAGGCTCAAAGCTTCGGCTTGTGGAGTTTTGAGGTCTCTGTAGTATTCTAGTAGATTTATAAAGCTGTGGGGTACTACAGTATTCTCACTAAGCCATACTCCTAAATTTTCCGAGGTCTGACTGGCCTGATGCCCCCCATATCAGAGGCTCAGAGACAGCACTCACTCCATGTGGCGTTGTGACTGCAATGTGGCTCCTTGGAAAGTGGACTGTCGATCCTTGATCTCCTTCGTCTGCAAGACCTGCCACAAATTAGGACAATGCACAGGTGGATCTGTCCCATGCAGAATTCCCCTTGATCATCCAGGAGGCCTCTTAAAATCTGAAACACAGACACACACTGACTGGCACGCGCACACGCACGCACACACACACACACACACACACACACGCGCGCGCACACACACACAGAGACACGCACACCCGCGCGCGCGCACATATCTGTGTACAAATGAGGATGCCCGATCTGAGCGATCAGGGTGCAACAAACAATTTTCTGAAAGCTGTCATGCTGCAATTCCATGATGAGACAATGCTTTGCTCCGAGGTATTGCCATATCCCAGGCACTGATTGCAGGGTGCACGTATGCAAAACCGTAAAAGCTCAATGACTGGCCGTCTGAGCTTCCACACACTGGTGGTGTCTAGTCTGCCACACAGAGGTGGTCTTTTTGTTGCACTACATCCTATGCAAAACTGAGCGCGGCAGATTTTAGACATAGCTGCATGATGTAGAACATGCACGTTGCCAGCGCCAGCCACCGTCATGTCAAACCTCGTGCTCCTCAAACGAGAGTCCCCTTCTTCAGAGGTTGTCAAGAGTATGGATAGTGGCCTTGATGATGCGGCCCAAAGAGCTCAAATTGCTGAAGAAGCGACACTGACTTTAGCTGTGCAGGTACTATGAGGCTGGCCAAGCCAAGCTGGAAACCTCGGAGGCCACTCATTATGAGCTTCCCTTTTGCACGTTCATAGAAATCCTGCACTTCCTCAGGACGAATTAATTTGTCGGCACACACCTCAAAGCTCCAAACGGTTCATCCCATACTTTGTCAGCGGAAAGGCTACATAGGAGCCAAACGTTCGGACACAGCTGCATGCTGTGAGCGCTTAAGTGGCCTCGAACAAGCACCATGCGCGCGTCAGGGGCATCGCATCATCGTCAAGAATCCTCGGGCACGGCCGCGGCAAGTCATTGCTGGGCTTTTCTGTTCTCACCCACGACCAACTCCTGGTCTAGATGTCTCACATCCTGGAGGCCACAAAAAAAAAGAACACCTAGCACAAGTCCTGAAGTCGAAAGGCTGTCAACATAAACTTCTTCTCTTACCTCTTACTGTCACTTGTGCTGTCCTGCACCATCACTAAAAATGCTCTGTTTCTTAAGTCACCTGCAGACATGAATACTGGGTCCAGGGGCCTCAGGAATTCTCGTTCTTACTCCGCATGGGGGACATGAACCCTTGTTGGGGAATCTCGCAAGCTTGTGACGTGTGCTACGCCGCTAGGTAAGGCCATATACACAAACTCTCATGATTCAAGGGAGCTGCGAAGATGACGTATACCTACATACCACACCCCTTGCCCCGTTAAGCTATGTTGGCAAGCTTATGGGACGGCAGCAAAAGTTGTTGCCCAGGGGCATCGCCGTTCCATCGCAGTAGCCGCAGGTCAGCGTTAAGTAAAATGAAGACTCCTCCCAGCTTGACCCAACCTCCTCCGCAACATTCCACTGGTTATTGCCTGAGCGCAAAATTAAGGCTGAAAGACTTCGTCTGGGGAGCTCTCAGTTGCAGCAGATCGCCGGGAGTATGTTGGGGGGCCAGTCGCTGCCTCTGCAATTGCCGGAGTAGCGGGTAGCAAACTAAGTCACTTGGAGAAAGCTCTAAGTGTGGTTTTTTGAGCTGGCGGCACTCTGGGGACAAAAATTTGGATTGAACAGGGATTCTGGGACATCGAGCACAAAAGGTTGTAATCGTCACCTGCTTGGACCCACATCGCTGTCGAAACTTGAAAGACCGCACCATGCTGATGTCAACTACGGTTGCTATGGTAGAAACTCTATGACGCACGCAGGCAACAAACCCAAGGGTAGAACCAGAGACAGCGCTGCATGGCTGTGGAGGGTTGAGGGCTACGGTCATGTGATTTCCACTGCTTCTGCACTAGAAGGAGATGAACCCACCACTCTACGTACTATGGTTTGCCACCGGTCTTATGAGCACGAAAACAAACACTGTCGCTCATTAAGAGATTTAGCGAAAATCCTTGCCGACTCTCGTCACGGCAATTTCGGTCGAGCAGCTAAAGCTGCATATCCAGTAGGCGCGGTCTGCCCAATTTGCAACCTCACTCAGGAGCTTTTCTGCCAAACAGACAGACATACACTCTCAAATCAATCATCCCCTCTGCAAATTACCCCTCCTGTAAGGGCAATAGTCTCCTTTGAGGTTAAAATATGATTTCTTACAAGCTGAAAAGTCCTCCCCTTCTTTGATTGCTGCAAGATTTTGGGATCTCGGAACCTGCCTTAGATTTAGGGCTGCTTGAGTGGCGTAGTTGCAGTTGTTGTTGCTCACCGCCACGCTCTCCGCGTGCTTCCGGATGCTGAAGACAAAATGGCGGAAGGAGGTCCCCCAAAAGTGGGACACGAACCAGGCAACCTTGTTGGGACCTCACGGGATGGCACGAAACAGACTATGCAAGAACACCCCCAAAGTCAGCAAATTCAGACTGAACTCTGCAGAAATCATCGAAGAGTGCAAAACACATGCTTTCTAACGCTATGGGAAGAGGGGATGGGACGCTCATGGCCTCGCCAATGCGCACCCCCCACACTGATACGGCCTCTTAAGGCCGAATCATCCTTGATAAGCCCTCATAAACCGTAACAACCCCGAATAAGACCCTTAATTTGTAGCGGCTCATATACTCAGGGGATTCATAGTAGCCCCATGGATGAAACATCGGTTAGCCTCTCTAAAGTCCATGTTTGTTTTGCCGTGCAAGCTGTCCCCTAGTGCTGGCAAATTGTCATTTTCCACTTGCTATATCTGCTATATCCTCGCAATGCCCCTCTATATCCCTGAAGACCCCTGAGGCAGAGCGGGGACCCGCCAAAGATACTGCCCCCCTGTGCCAACACTTGTGACATTTGGAGTTTGGGATTTCCGCATTGCTGCTGCTGACAGGGCCTGGGCCCGTCCAGACACTGCTACTGTTGTTTAAACAATTTGTCATCTGTATGCATACACACACACACACTTATATGTAGCATGTTAGGGGCCATGGGGTCTCCAAAAGGTATCGATGCCACGATGCGGCTCCATAAGATACTTCTATGGTTCACAGAACCTCTGCTTCATACATCAGCCTAAGTCTAAACTCCTAGCACCCCCCTTCATAAGCCCTATAGTGTTCCCCTGTTATAGTAGCCCCCCTTTTTGGAGTTTAGACTACAGCCCATATGAAAACAAACCGACCTTTTTCCAACCCTAAACCCTAAACTTTAAAGCCTTAAGCCCTGTTACGAAGCCGGAATGCCCCCCGCCTACAAGCTCCGCATACGAGATCTTGCGGCTTTTCGTCAAAGGCATCACCAGGTTCGAGACTACATAATACCTAGGGTAGGTTAGAGGCTTTATAGGGTTTGTAGGGTTTAGGGTACTAGGCTTGACGTAGAGGCTGCTTAGGGATATTAGCCCCCGTGATGGAGGAGCAAATTGAAAAGAAAATGGACACTAAGTACAAACTGGGGGGTATATGGGCATATACAGGGTTTAGGGATACAGGCCCAATAACGTAATCAAAAAGAGAATGGAACATCATAAAATGGAAGCGGGGGATTCTGTTGTGGTAATTTATTATTCAAGGTTTAAGGTTTAAGGTTCAGGGTTGGGGGTTGGCTTTGCAACAGCGTGTGGGACGAAGCCAAGATTAGAGGAGACCAGAGAGCACACCCCAACTTGCAAAAAACGGTTTTAGGGCTCAGGGACCCCTAGCCTGCACGCATTACATATGTACTTATGGGAGGAAAGGGGTGTATAGGGATGTACAGAGGTACACTTGGACTGGACCTTAGAATCTCCAGAAATTGCGGTATCTGATTGAAAGTCTTCAAAGTCAGGATGAATGATAATATAGTATTGGGGGATATGGGGGGGACCCCTTGTCTATGGAACGCCCACATAATACCAACAAAAATCAGAAAACTCCTGAAGACTCCCCAAGTACAACCCTTTAGAACATCCGCCTAGCATCCCATGACGCCTGGATCAAGCACAACGTATACTACGCACCCAACACCTTCGTAAGCAAGCCGCTGAACCCCAAACCCTACACCTGCACCCCAAACCCTATACCCGATGCCAAGGATCCCTATAGCCACTATGCTAGCGCTAAGGTCCTTCTAAAAAGGTTTTCCAAGGACTGCCCCAGGTGCATGGTGCGATGCTGCCCTTAGACAAGCAAGCATGGTTGCACATGTTGAGCAAGGTTTGGGTTCAGGGTTCGCCCTTACCCTAAAGGTCCAACTGTCCAAATTGGCGGGCTCTAGGTTTTCTGAAGCTTCAGTATTTGGGCACGTGGACGCTTAGACTATTAAGGTTTAGGGCTTTGCCAGTAACTGCTTTGCAGGACTGTTCACAAGGCAAACCCACAACAAGCTGCAGTTCAAGAGCGCATCTGCTGTTCCTTCATGACTCTTACCTATATATTCCACCTGAGAAGTCCCTTATTCCCAGCAACGCTGCGAGATTCAGACCGTTTCGTGAGAGCGACGTTGGGGAAAACTACTACTCTATCCGCAAACCTAAATCACCCAACTTGTGCCACAGAAACTTGAAACATAGGCAGTGTAAAGCTGAATCAAAACCAACCTCGTACTAGCCCCGAACACTCCAAAAGTTCAGGTCCATGGCACGGATGAGGGGCTCGAAGCACGCGTAAAATTTCCACCTCAGCTTGTGACAAAATCTGGTAGCATTTGATACCATTCATAAGTGCGACTGGGGGCAAACATCGCGAACATGCACAGGCAACATACAAAGAACAAAATGGAATAATGCATGTAGTAGAAACGCCAGAGGCAAGCGGCTTGCAGTTTTGGGGCAACAGTACTGCCAAAATCTGACTTTACTAATTACTGGTGGAGATAAGAGACGACTTGTGATGGCAAAGCAACCGCTGTATTCTTAGAGTAATTACTTCATCCTGGCCATCCAGGGCTGCAGGAGAAAGTGCTACTCCAAGAACTCAGAAGGTCCTCGTCTTACTAACTCATAATTGACCATCGTCCAGTAGCCGAGCGACTCAAAGCAACTGGAGAACAGGGCATGGAGAAATCTGAGATGATATTCTTCTTTTAACACATTGTACGTAGGCCATTGCGAGGCGTTTCTTCTACTCAGTATTCAGAGCTGTTTGATGGTACTACCCCTATATCACCCATCATAAACCCAGCTTCCATTTAATTGGTTGCTGTCCATCTCTGTCTCCAGTGATGGTGTTATAAGTTATAGTAGAAATAACAGGTAATGGCCCAAACTAAATCGTAAAAGCCGATTCATCCCTCGACTAAACCCTGAGCATCCCTGAACCACACCTTCAACTCCAAACCCCTAAACCGGAGTAAGTACAACAATGTTAGTGTTAGTGTCAACGTACAAAACCCCAACTTCTCCAATGTCCGGGCCGCAGCTGGCCGGCCCGTACCGCCCGGTCGGGCCCCCGAAGGCAGGGCTTTGGGTCCGGGTTCACCTCGGGAGCTGCTTGGCCAAGTCTTCTAAAGACTAGGCAGGCATCTTACTGAAGGCTAATGTGTGTTCTACATGCTTGTAATCATAAGAGGCTACTGGATATTACCTGGTCTCACAGAGGGAAATTTGTAGAAGCTTGAAGAATGGCCTGAGGACAGGGTCTTAGACGGTCCTAGAGGCTTTAATATGTGAGTTTCGGCTCATGCGCTCAAGTTTGGCTGTGTACTTGTTGAGCTTCAGGGCAAGTCTAGCAGCATGCGCATCACAACAGCTGACACGTTTTGTGATGCAAAAGCTCGAATACAAGACAACAGTGACATAGGCGCTCAAAACTCTCACACCGGCGAAATGTGACGTAGTACAGAATGGCAAAGTGCAGGAAGCCAAACGACATCGACACGCATCCAAATCAAACCGTGGGCACGTCTGCGGCGACTTGCTAATTGCGAAGCAAAGGTTGACAAGAGCTTGCTACGTGAACCATACCTAGTGGGATGAGGGATGAGGACACCTCCAGTTGCGCCCGCTGGTATTAAACGCTTCTCCCCAGCTGAATGCTGGGGCGGCTTCAGCACAGCAAAATAAAACCTTGCTCCAAGATGCCTTTTTGAGATCTCTCTCGTGCTCCTCCCCATGGTTTTGGCTTGCATGTTGCTTGGAGGCGGGTTAATCTGGATAATCATCTACTGGCGGCTGGCAGGGAATGACAGAAGACTTTCGGGACTACACCCTCTAGCTTAGGGAGCACCCAGCCACAAGCAGAATCATGGCGTCCCAGGCCCAGGTGCATAGCTTGTAAGAAAACGGAGGCAAGCGGAAAATGTGCAGTAACCCGGGATAAGTCAGGGTCTTTCCAGAAGCCACGCGCATACTGCTGAGTAGCAGGTTGACTTCAGCGTTGGCATGGGAAAGAAAAAGGCCATGGTTCAACACATCGCAGCTAAGCTTGTTGTATAAAGAGGTTATTTAGATGGTCTGTGTTGTCTTAAAGATTGGGGGGATGCGCGCGCACGTGGAAAGATCAAACTATTTACCTCTAGCAATCACTGCTGTCAGGGTCTTCCCACATGTCTGCGTCCTATGTCGAAGGGTTGTGCTGTGTTGGGTAGGTAACTTCGGATCTGAATTCCCATCTAAAAAATATATGATGATATACAGAGTCATATGGATGCTTTACAGAGATTATAAAGAAAGCCTGTCAAAAGCGCCACGGCTCTTCTCTTCACACGTTTGACTACCCCTTTGGATTTGCACTTGCTCTGGTTCCCTCACCACAACCGCGAAAACTTACATGGTGCTATTTCAAAAGTCTGGGCCACTTTTCGAAGGGCCGACGGTCTTCAGCTGCAAGCACTCTCGCTCAAAACCCAAACAGCCCGTTGCAGTCGGAAAGCGCTTCGCCACAAATCTGCAGCTATTGCCAGCTGAGCCCCAAAGCCTGCAACCTTCTTGCAATAGGCGATGTTCAACGAGATATACCTTAGACCCTAGCGAAACAGGATTGATTTCTGCCAAATCCTGGAAAACAACTCTGGGATAGGCTCCTGCAGCTTGTACTGCCGCAGCGTCAGAGGTGTGAACTTCCACTTGATAGAAGCAATAATGGCAGCCAGAACGATGCCTAGGCTGGAAGACGCGCATCTTTGCTTACTGGCGGTTAGTAGGGAATGAAAACTGGATTGCAGGGTCCATCATCAATCTATTCTCTAAGCATCTTATTTTCATATTATTCGTACTGTTATTAGTACTGTTCTTAGAACTATTATGAGCATGTTTTAAAGATTTCTAGTTGCTAGCGTCACAGGCCTCAATGGGTTCAAGACCAAAAGAAATGTGTTGCAAACCGGCATGCTTTAAGCACACACACCCCGGAAAAGATACTGACATGTCATGTGAGTGTTAATTACTCGGACCCCTGAAAAGAAGTCAAACACTCTTCAGAGACTACCGCCAATTATGCGGGATGAGACAAAGGAAGCTGATCAACGCAATAATTCCTGCTGCAATCACTGGAACTTAGGCAAACTTGGATGTTCAGGGCCGTGTCGTCCGAACAACATAGAGGACATGATCACCAACTCTAGCGCATGCCCCCTTGTTCCAGAGTCTTGGCAGAGTGGCTAACGAGGGAGCAGCCGGCAACAAAGCGAGCTTCCAGTTGAAAGACGGCTGCCGGCACCTTAAGCTGTAGCTCGGAAGAGATCTCATGCAGTTTTGGCATGTTTTAGCTTGGGCCAGCCTATGACCCACAAGTCGCTTCCCGCTAGATGAACATCTTGTAGCAGTTTCAATGCACGGGTTCTGCAGACGCTCGACAAGCCAGTTATGGAAAATCCAGGAACAGCTTCGGCAAATAGCTGCAGCAGCAGCAGCATGTTGTAAATATAGCAAATATAGCTTGGGTCAGGCTTCCCTTTTATAGTTTCGGCTTCAAGTGATTTGGCATTCAGAATCTTGATCTGAGGATTTCTTCTGCTGGGCTCCGTCTGTTCTTGAGAATGAGTTGCCAAACTGGTTGGAAGGATCGGGTTCCTTGCAAAACAATGGTACCTGTAGAGGTTTGTTTTCGCGGAGCAGTGATTGTGCTAAACACCCCATCTCTGTTGTAACCGAACTTAAATCTTTTAGGTTTGACCTAGAATGCAGCTGCGACAACAGCTCACAGGGTTCTGTGAAGCATTGCGTCTTTCTTGTAGCAGCTGTTGGACACCCTGGTCGGCGTCTGACCCTCCGTTTGGCCTGATGCAAGCTATGATCCGGGACTTCCACCAAACCGTGCCAACCAGGTGTTGCATGGGACGAAGCGCACCAACACCCAAACTGAGACGGAACTAGATCCTGCAGACCAATTTGCCTATGAGGGCGTAGCTGGGACTCCAAACTCCGTACCGTCGCCGGCGCAAGCAGATGCTTACATGCAGATGGCCGACTTTGATCCACAAACTCATCCTGAACTCAGCAGCCTAAAGTTTCTCAACAGAAGCCCTACCCCCACAGACAGGATCTCTGTGTCATATATGAGTCATATCCATATTCCCCAAGGACTTCTCAGGCTGACATATTCTATTGAAGATCCCTTCTTGATGCTACCTTATGCATGTGAAGGAAAGCCTAGGTGCAACCGCGAAGACCAGGTCAATCGCTAGCCACCTGCAGCCGTGCAATGGGCTCAGTCTGCACACCGGTTGATGAGGGATTGCCATGAAAATGTTTGAGGTTTGAGCCACTTTGGAGTGGATGACGGGACCAGAGTCTGGGTTCAGAGTTTTGGAAGATTCTGCAGACACGACGGATTTGTGTGCAAGGCTTCCAAAAGGTCAACGTTCCCAACATCAGAGGAAAATCCCTGGTGAATAAATAAGGTCCTTCGTGTATCTGGCTCGAGTTTCTTACTTGCTTCCCTAAGATCAGTTCGTGCTTTATGCTTGGGTTGCTGAGAGCAACAGGTGAAACCGGAAAACTGTCTTCCTTGCCGGTCATGCTACGAAGGCTGAGCGCTAAGCACGAAAGGCTCCAAAACATCTAGCCATTGTCACATTAATTGTGTCTTCACGTACATGTACATCAGCATCTTGTACAAGTTGTGCAGTGCAGCCAGCTTAGGAACTTAGGTAGACCTGGTCTTGCAAACTTTAGACAGAAGCCAAGCTTGTAAAGAACCACACCCCGAACCGTCCTGTATGACGACTTTCCGCAAAACCTCTTCTCAGACACTTTGCGAACCAAGTCAGGACTCACATGCGCCCACAGACCTCATGGAGCTGCAGCGGTAGTTCTAAAAGCCTCGATCGAACTAAGTGCGAACTGAGCTGCAGGATCAGCGGCACGTGGAATGGTGCCACGCGAATAAGTGTCAGGGGAAATGGAATGCCTCGGCTCAGTCGATCATAGAGCGCCTGGAGGGGGGTTTGTCGCAGCGGGAGGTGGCTAACAAAAAGATCAGAAAAAATAAATGGCTCGATATCTTGTTCTGCAGATGGCTCCTTCTGACATTATGGTCACAAGCAAAATTAGCCTTAAACCGTAAACCCTAAACCAAGCGCAGCGTGCATTGGTGGTAGTCGAGCATGGTCTAAAGACACATAGCATGTCACTTCGCATTGTAGGAACGAAGCCCCAACCCCAGTCATGAATCTCAGACAGCATCAGTAGGGATTCCAAATGTTCCTGATGATTGATACCGTAGCCTTAGCAGTTAGTGGCCGATGCAGCTGCTGCAAGGCTACCTGCAATCCAAGCTGCTGAAACTGCCACAGGATGTCTCAATCACCCGCTCCTGAGAGGCAATCTTTCTAGACACCTTTAGCCTGAAAAACTCCACCTTCCAATCCCAAAGCTACTGAATGTCAACACACCTGGACCCTGCTTCCAAACCCTGAAAAAGCCTAGGCCCTACACCTCAACCCAGGACCCCGCCGAGAAGCTTAGGGTGCGAGGGGAGGCACTTTTCTGAGGTAAATGGCAAAATCAATGTAAGTTTAATCGCTGCCCAGAAGTGATCGTGAGCAAACCCCAGTTCGAGACTATGCCCTTCTACGTGAGCATCTGGCAAAACATCAGAAGCGCAGGGAAACTGGGATAGACTCAGAGCCGTATATCTCTAAAGCGACTCGGCCCAACGCCCAACAAGGGAGCATCAACTAGGATCTCATATGTGAGCAATAATGGAGACAGCCCCCGACTTATCATGGTGGGGCCTATGCATGCTGGCCCATGGCTCCTCCGGAACGCCTTTGGCAGTGAGCAGCAGCCTGAGCATCCATTATTGAAGTTTTCAACAACCCAATGTTCACGGCTTCTTGTCAGCCATAGTCATGATAATACTGCTCAAATTCACACGTACTAGTTCTAGCAGCAAAAGAAGCAACTGTAGGCAGGTAATTACACATGGTGCTGCCGTTGAGACAAAGGGTTAGGCCAGTGCATGAGAAGTGGCGCGAAGTTTAAGCGGAACAAGGCACGCCATGTTTGCATTCTTCGGGGAAGCTCCACTGGTGAAATGCTCGTGGTCCAGACCAAGACACGCCACTTTTTTGACACTCTATCAGGCTTCCTCATGCGCAGCTTGATCCCTTCCAGGAAACAATCATCCTGGTTTTGCGGAATACGAAGGCGCAACACCCGTTCAACAACATGTTCTCCTTGAGCTGTGCAAGCTCAACGACATTCAGCTAGAACGCCAGCTATGCCCCAGCCTGATCCAAACGAACAGGAACACAAGCTCCGAGCAGTAAGCCTTTCATGCGGCGTCAACGACAATCACATTGTGAATTTTGAAGGGGCCATCCGAACCCCACCAAACGCCTGAATTAGAAACCGAGCAGCAAGTGTCTCGTGGTCAGAGGCTTGACGAATTGCCTGCGTCATGAGTGCGTTCATACTCACTAGTTGTAATCTATGTTTTGTTTAGCTCCAGGGTTCTTGTGACACTAAGACATGACTTCGAACACAAACCTCTTTTGGATGTCCTTCAACTACAATGCCTAAACCCTGTATCTCACCATACTTCCCTAGAACAAGTCCTATAACGCGGATTAATGCAGGTTGACCCCTTCAAAAATCACTTCCAACAACGACATCCTAAACATCATGAGACCCACATGCTTCCCAATACAGTAAGGACTGCCATACATCTCCAGGGTGCATGGGGGTCACCCCGATTTGGACACCCCCTGCCGCAACACAAAAAACCTAAAGACCATATATCCCTTTCTACCCCTAGAGAACCTAAAACCAGCCCACAACGGCCTGTGATGGCATGAGCCAAAGACCCTACAGCCCGCCTGACCTTTAAACCCCTTACATGTCCCAAAACACTTCCAACCATCACCCAGATGCCATTGCGATGCTGGCTTGGCGGCTTCGACCTTAGCAACCAAGGATTCACGAGATGTGACAGAAGGGAAGACATGTCGTAAAGTAAGGTCTAGGGCTTGGGCTTCCTCTCTGAACAGGTCCGGGGCTTGCGCTTCCTCTTTGAACACAAGAAGAATGATGCTCCAATGGCAGTGTTTCGTGGTCTTTGGCCAAACCAGCCAGAGTGAGAGTTGGTATGAAAACACTCACGGCATCTCAAATACAGTCCATAACGGTCCAAACCCCTCATTCCCAGCCCTGAAGGAATGTGCGAACTTGGTTCATATAGTTGTTCCAAACGGGGCTTCCATGGGGACCTCAGGGGCATGTGAGAACTGTGTCTAAGTTTGTGGGGGTCCTCATGCTGGAGCATGTAAACCCATTTTTGCGAAGCTCCAAGATCCGGCTTGTTCTGACATCGCAGTCTCCCAAAAGAACGTTTACCAAGGGTTCACTGGAGCTGATCACAGGAGCTTCAACTTTACATGCTCAAATAAGCAGGCTCCATGGGCTCCAGCTTGCATCTTCTCGGCGACAGGGTTTACAATGAGGTCAGCGTGAGACAAATACAGCTGATATATTGCTTTGTAGGACTCGCAGGTTTGAGAAAACTTGGTAGCGGAGCTGCCGGGCTTTTCAGTTGGGGGGGATGCTGAGCAGGAGTTCAGCTCACGGCCACGTCTTCAATGAGAGGCTACTACAGAAAGCCGAGCAACATCTTTTCAAATCAATTTCCCATCTGCTTGCTCTTTGATCTTACCACGCCTACCATGGTCCCATTATATGTGGGGGGTGGGGGGTGGATTTATGTTACTATGGGGGGTGGGAGATAATTGGGGAGAAATGAAAATTCTTTGTCCGAGACCCAAGCTTCGAAGCTGTGTCTGGGCCAGCTTCAAAAAGGTCAAATGCAAGATTCTCCCCGAAATTGAAGTACCTTGTTTAGGGGTCCCTACAATAAGGAGTATCATGTACTGGGGTCTATATTTCCCTACAGTAAGGATAATCATGTATATTGGGGTCCATAGTTTGACATGATCAAGGGAGGGAGTGTGCCTAAATTCGCGGAAGCTCGTTTCGCGTTGCTTCTACTGCTTTAATGCAGGGGCCTAAGATATTGCCGATCTCATTTGAGGTCCATCTGAGGTGCTCTACCCCACACCCAGATTACGAACAGTACTGGTAATCCTGCTGGTTCTTGGTAGGGAATAAG